GACATACTGGTACGGCTCCCAACGCAACGGATGGAAATGCTGCCATGACGGTGGCATCAATGTTTACTCCTCGCGCGATCTGTACAGCTGGACCGCACACGGTCTGGCTCTCAGGACGTATCAGACTCGCTCCTCCACCGGCAACGGGCGTGACCTCGAGCGACCAAAGGTCGTGCGATGCGCAGGCACCGGACAGTATGTTCCAGGACCCAGCGTCGTCCAGGGCCTTTGTGTACTGGCGCACACGGGTCAACTCGCACCACACCGGCTTCCGCGCCATGGAGCTCACCGACGACTGCACCAACGTGCGACGCGAGTCGGACCACCAGCTCTTCCAGACAGCCAACCGAGAGGCGCCGGCCGTCTTTCACGCTCGCGGCCAGTACTATCTGTGGGCGTCTGGTACGGCGGGCTGGTCGCCGACGACCACGCACCTGTACACGGCGGACTCGCCGCTCGGCGCCTTCAACCGGAGCGGCTTGAACAACAGCCGCGGGTGGCTCGTGGGCTGGGACCCGCCGCCCATTCCGGAGCCGGGGCAGCATGGCAACCGGAGGGCAGACGGGCAGCCGGGAGAGTGGGCCTTTGGGTCGCAATCGACGTTCATCCTGCCCAACCCCCTCTTCGACGAGGTGCTGCATCCGACGCTCGCGCCCTTCATCTACATGGCTGACCGGTGGACGCCGGACGACCTCTACTCAATGGGGACGTACGTGTGGCTGCCGCTCTGGATAGACCCGAAGAACGCCTCGCGCGTGCGTGTGGAGTGGCACGACAGCTGGCGGCTGGACAACGCCACCTCGCCGTTTTTGAGGGCTGTGACGGCCGGAGTGTGAGACTCGAGAGAGCAGGCCCGGTTTGCTGTTGCGAAAAGCTGCGCACGCAATACACCACATGACCACAAAAGTCAAAACCTTCTCTGCACACACATGTACATGTACAAGTAAGGTACAGTGCGAGGCGTGGCGATAGAAATCGGGGCGTCGGCATCCAGCAGCCGATTTCTGTTTCGGCGAGGGAAATCGGGCGAGCCAGCAGCCGATTTCTGTAAGCGATTTCTGCCAAAATTTTCTTCGGCGCTGCGCGCCGGTCACTACGGCTCTCTAGTCTAGATACTAGTACACTAAAAGGTTGCCCTGAGATACGAATTCAATCCTCCCGCT